ATCCAAACATAATCCAAACAGACGAAAACTAGATACACTGACTTGACATGAACAGGCTTGAACAGACTTGACGAGGCATGAACAGACTAGACTCACCAACAGCGGGTTACAAAATCAATACACGACGAGAGACAATGGCAACATGATGGCTACTTATATCAGACAAAGAGGGTCACATGACAAGAACAAACCAATGGGAAACAAGACACATGACTAAGACAACCAATCAGAACATGACACAAAGAACAGAGGAACCAATGGCATGAAGACAAGAGGGCAAGGGAAGCATGACACTAACAGCATGAAATAATTCCAAAATAAAAGACATGAATGAGAACATGACACAAAAACAATACCCAAACCCCACATTACAATGATTTATGTTTTTTTAATCATTATTATTATTTTTACTTATTTGAATCGAAAGTAGGAAGTATTAAGAATCTGAATCAATAAGCAGAATCGGAATCGGTATCATTACAATTCAAACGATGCCCAACCTTACACATACCACACATTATTTTTTACTGGCAATTTAAATGGTCAATTACATGACAATTTATGAGATTAATATCATGTTTTGCTCCAAAATTACGATATAACATCAGTCATGCTTGAGATAACTTGATTCTGTGTTCCGTGTTGCTTCTTATCACAGAATGAGACAGAAAAAATATTATTTTATAAAATTCTATACTGTCAATTAGCATTGCATTATAAATATGAATCATTCTCATGAAAATACCCGAAATGGTTTAAATACAGATAAACACAGATATATCATTACAATAGTGTGTTTATTGTCTTAATATTTCATCAGTCAAAACGTCTGCGTGTTATTCAGCTGTAGTGATATCTGATGCATTTGTCCATATAAGGGATTTCCTGGAAAGTTATAAGTTTAATACATCTATGTCTAAGTCTCACTTGTGAAACAGACATTACATGAGAGTGTTTAATGCTCCATGATGTTCGCATTGCCTCATTTTGGGCATAAATAGAAAAATAAAACTAAAGTACTTTGTAACGCAGTAACTTGAGTAGTTTTTCAGCAAAATACTTATTTACTCTTACTTGAGTTATATTATTTTTCAGTACTTTTAGTTGTACTCAAGTAAATTATTTCTTAAGTAGCAATACTTTTACTTAAGTACAATTTTTCAGTACTCTCTCCACCACTGATGTATGTATGTATGTACAGTATATTGGCAATGACATTTAAATCTCATGTTTGTAAATGTGTTTGATTAGGTCAGATTTGCTAATTTAAATATAACTGGTCTGTTTTGGTCTCTCACTAACACAGATTATGACCCGTGCAATAACTACAACATACTCGACAACCACCGGAGAAGCACACTCAATTTCGGGTTTTGGAATAGCTATGCAAATGAACTTGATGACACTCGTGTAGAATGGGATGGCTGGTATCGGCTCTTCATTGATGGATCAAGTGCTCAGATGCCTGAGTGGTGTATGTCTTACATGTCATGTGGAGGTTTTAGTGCTCTGTATCTTGGTGGCTCTCATCCTCAACTAGAAGATGGAGTTGTTACTCGTCAAATTTACGGCTCTGGCCATGATATGTGCAGTCGCTACAGATCTGAACCAATCCAAGTTAAATCTTGTCCTGGAAATTATTACGTCTACAAATTTACCAGACCAACTCTTTCAATCCCAGCTCTTGTGTATTGTGCAGGTATGTTCATTTATCTTTTTATTTGACATGTTTATCACAAGTTGTATTGGTTTGTATTCATATTATTATCTTGAATAGATTTAATATGCAGTATGTAATGCTCGCTTTCTACTTTTTAATAACAGTATTGTTAACCACTCCAAGTGTTGACCCCTGCTACAACTATACCAGTCTGGATGAGCCTTGGAGAGCCACTGGCAACTATAATAACAATTACTACTATGGCATGTGTGATTATAATGTGGAGTGGAATGGCTGGTACAGGCTGTTCTACAATGGTCAAAATGCCCAGATGACAGAATCATGTGTTAATTATGGCATGTGTGGCACTTTTAACCCACTGTTACTCACCGGCCCTCATCCACAGCTGGAAGATGGAGTTGTCACCCGTCGGGTCTGTTCCACAGTGAATGACTGCTGTACTTACACATCCCACCCTATAAGAGTCAAAGCCTGTCCTGGAAATTACTATGTTTATGAGTTTGTCAAACCATTTGTTTGTGGAGCTTATTGTGTAGGTTAGTATATACTTTTCTGGGTTATGATTAAACATGTTTGATACTGATATACTATATATATATTTCTTCTACCAGAAGCCTCAAGCCAGTCCATCCAATTAGTTTCTACAACAGTGAGAATTCCACCGATAGTGTCCATTACTTCACCAATCACAACCACTGGTAAAGTATTGTCTTGTTTTCTCTTAAAGCCTCAAGAATATTTTTTACTCATTTATTTTCATTACACATTCTCTTAAAATGTTTCAGTCTTTCTGTCCCATTACAAAAGCGTGTAGCAAAAATCATAGTTAAAGTAGTAAAAATCAGTATGCAAGACAAATGAAAAGAAAAGGACAACAGGTGCCTAAACACTCATTCTTTATTTGACTGATTTTGTTGCTTCTCTAACTCTATTTATTTAATGGACAGTGTAACAGATGAATCAAATTGATCATAATGAAGAACTCAACTGAAGTGCATTTTTATTAATAGTAAAAACTATACCATCACTGTTTCTCAGACCTCTGTAGACTCCTTTTATAACCTCAAACTGATCCCAGACCCCACCAATCAGAGGCAGGAAATTACTTAAAATGACAGGAAATACACGTGTGCACACAGATAAAAGATAAGAGTCAGAGTGAAAATTGATAGGATTTATTTATTTATACAATTTGACAGTGTATAATGTAAGATTGTGATCAAGATCAAGATATGATGGGGAAGTCGTGGCCTAATGGTTAGAGAGTTGGACTTGTAACCCAAAGGTTGCGGGTTCGAGTCTCGTACCGGCAGGGATTGTAGGTGGGGGGAGTGAATGTACAGCGCTCTCTTCCACCTTCAATACCATGACTGAGGTGCCCTTGAGCAAGGCACCGAACCCCCAACTGCTCCCCGGGCGCCGCAGCAAAAATGGCTGCCCACTGATTAAACATTACCTAATAATTAACATTTCATGTAAATTAAAATGCTTACAAATATCAATAAACTGCTCCGGGTGTGTGTTCACGGTGTGTGTGTGTTCACTGCTGAGTGTGTGCACTTTGGATGGGTTAAATGCAGAGCACTAATTCCAAGTATGGGTCACCATGCTTGGCCACATATCACGTCACTTTTTTAAAAAGATAATTTGGCACAAAGAAGAAACAATTTAGACCACCAAACACAAACCAATAATTTGTAAGATTAAGATTATAAAAGTACAAAAGTCAAGCTATTCAGTTGCAAAAGGACTCATGTTAGCCATTTGTTTCAGCAAAATAAAAGTAGATGTTCGAACTCAAGACAAACTGTTTTCAACATTGAATACATTTAAACACAAGCGTAACAGAGTGTAACAATTAAGTGAAGACTGTTCTGAAGATTTCATAGCACTACTTATTCTGTACAAAAAACAGTATAGCATTCATTCAGTCCGAAACGTTTACTTTTCTAATATTTCTTAACAACAGCTCCCCCTGTTGACCCCTGCTACAACTACAATGTCCTGGAAGATCTATGGAGAGCCACCAACAGTCAACATTCCTCTCAAATAATGTGTGACTCTTGGGTCAGCTGGAACGGCTGGTACCGTCTCTTCACTCAGGGTCAGAGTGTTCAGATGCCAGACACATGTGTTGATAAGTTGAGTTTTGGCACTCATGCTCCACTGTGGCTGAACGGAGGACATCCAACAGTTGAGGATGGAATGGTCACTCGAGATGTCTGCGGTCACTGGAGCAATAACTGCTGCTATTTCCAATCCAATCCCATTAAAGTCAAAGCCTGTCCAGGAGGGTATTATGTCTATGAGTTTTTTGCAAAAATGTCAACAATTCTGTGTTTTTCTGTCAATATGGGGTGCTGTGTGTACATTAATGAGGGAAAAAAATTAACTTAAATGATTTTAGCAAATGGCTGCAATATAACAAAGAGTGAAAAATTTAAGGGGGTCTGAATACTTTCCGTACCCACTGTATGTAACCTGAAGTATTTATACTTTCACTAATTTGGTCCGCTACTCCACACATACCCTGTTAATTAAGAATGGATGTGCTTACAATCTGATGAACTAGAACTGATGCAGACTAATAAATGTTGCTGATGAAGACTGAAATAGTTGTGGTTTGGAGCAAGGGTTAGGTGGGTAATGTGAAAATAATGGGAGTGTGCTACATTTTCCATTTTCCACCAAAGATTTACACTGGAAAATTGTGGAGTGCTTTTGAGCTCAGGAAGGCACAGACACCCAAAGCCCTGCACCAAATTTTCAAATACAGCTCTGGAAAAAATTAAGAGACCACTGCAAAATTATCAGTTTCTCTTGTTTTATTTTACTATTTGTATGTTTGAGTGAAATGAACATTTTCGTTTTATTCTATAAATTACTGACAAAATTTCTTCCAAATCTCAAATAAACATATTGCTGTTTAGAGTAGGGACGATAAGATTCACAGATTTGCATCGGTGCATCTGCATAAAAGTTAACGATGCGCTGCATTGATTTAAAAAGTGTGCATCAGATACAAGTTGGCATTTGTATCGCGATGCATCGTTTCTAACATATTTGCATGGGTAAAAAACGATATATTTATATATAGTTATTAGTAGATGCGCTATACTTTTATTATTTAGAAAGTGACCAGTAATTTGTGACCAATATCAGATAGGGCCTTTTGATACAAGTTTGCATTTGTATCGCAATACATTTTTGCATAGGTAAAAAACTATTTATTTGTTAGTAGATGTGCTATACTTTTATTATTTATAAAGTGACAAATAATTTGTGACAAGTATTTTATACGTAGATTGATTTCTCCTCTCTAAACTGTTTCTCAAGCGCGTTCTCTCATCACCACTGCTGCTACGTGAATATGACGAATCAACACTATGGAGACCGAGGCGTGTCCTGACAGTCACATAGAATATAGATTAACATGGCAGAAGTAGAGCTGCATCTTCCACCAAATAACTACAATGAACCAAAGAAATTAAAGCGAACTATATGATATTGAATTTCATAGCATCATATTTTTTTCATTGCATCGTATTGCATTGAATCGAATCGAAATCGGATCACACTGCATCGTAATAGGGGTGAATCAAATTGCATCGCATCGGTAGCTGCTTCATATGTATTTTTTATGTATGTTGGCTATGCATCGAGATGTGTATTGCACTGGCCTCAGTTATGGAGATGCAAACATAGTTTAAAGAATTTATTTGCAGACAATGACAACTAGTCAAAATCAAAAAGATGCAGTGTTTTCAGGCCTCAAATACTGCAAACAAAACAAGTTCATATTATTTTTTAATCAACACATCACTAATGTTTTAACTTAGGAAGTGTTCAGCGTTTACCTTATATATTTGGTGGAATAGCCCTGATTTTCAATCACAGCTTTCATGCATCTTGGCATTGATAACTTGTGACCATCCATCTTTCTCTTGATCACACTCCAGAGGTTTTCAATGGGGTTCAGGTCTGGAGATTGGGCTGGCCATAACAGGGTCTTGATCTGGTGGTCCTCCATCCACACTTTGATTGACCTGGCTGTGTGGCATGGAGCATTGTCCTGCTGGAAAAACCAATCCTCAGAGTTGGGGAACATTGTCAGAGCAGAAGAAA